GGTTGCGTGTTCCTGCATCGTGCCTGAATTGATGGACCCAATGTTCTTTATTCTTGTTGAAATTCTGAGTGATGTCCGAGCCGTGTTTGATGTACAGCCTTCTCGTGTGCTGAAATGTCTGCACTTGGTAGCCGCCAACACTTCAACGAGATCATATGGACCAGCCAGTGCATGCTGTCGGTACCTTGAGGTCGTGGGATGGTCGCTTTCGTGTGAAGGGATACTTTCTGGGCCTGAATGGATGCCTCCAATCGCCATCCTTCAATGCTCTCGTGGCGAGCTCAAACGATCCCTTCGGACTTGGTGGGATGTATTTCTTACCTCCCAACTGCAGGATCGTCGTGCTGCCCCGGTATTGCCCATTGACAGGAACCTGTGGTTTAGAGCACTGAAGTCAGTCCCTGATGAAGATTTGTGCTTTTTAGCAATGCGCCTGACCAATGCCTTTCTCAGTGGTACTGCAAAAGCTAAGTATGTCCGTTGGGGCGATAACTTCCAGGTCTGTAATAGATGTAGATTGACCGCATCGACTACGCATGATATCCTTGAGTGCACAGCCACGCAGCATATCAGGGTTAAGCATCAGCCTGCAATTGACATCTTGCAGCATCAACGACCCGAGTGGAAGTGGCTTCCACTTCCAACCTGCTCAGGATCTCAGTGTGTTTTTCGTCATATCCTCGCTCAGCACGAGGTTGACTTTCTGTTTCAGCTCCCCATTTCCTCCCCGGATTGCATTACCTTTTTTACCGATGGTGCATGCAGTGACCCGACACTTCTTGTCGGTCGACGTGCGGCGTGGGCTGTGGTTCAGTCTAAATTGACCCACGAACGTGAAATCCAAGCGGAAGTGACCCGCCCTATTGGTGGTGGGGCCTTCATGGATAATTTCCTATGTGCCGGCTGTGGCTTTGCACCTGGTGAGCAGAGTGCGGCACGTGGCGAATTGTCGGCATTCTGTGCAATTTTTTCCAGCTGTCGTGCATGTCAGTATGAGGGTGATATCCACATCTTTTCAGATTCTAAATATGTGGTGGACCTCGTGCAGAAGTTGTCCGACGACCATAGTTCTGCCAGTTCCGTCAAACGGTACATGCGCAATCAGGACCTGATACACATCCTGTTGGATAATTGGCCTTCCGGCCGCTTGTGCGTAGAGTGGATCAAAGCTCACCGCGAAATTAATGATGCGCGGTCTCCGCGAGAAGCTTGGCTTATTGCGGGTAATATCGCAGCAGATACATTGGCAGGTGCGGCAGTTTCATGTGACTCTACCTCTTTGCAAGTTGTGGTGAACGACCTGCGGCTTGAACACAAAGCCGCTTTGCATGACATATCGTGTGTGTACAAGTACTTTGTTGAACTTGACCAGTGGAAACTAGACAATGTCGGAGGCGGCCAATCTGAGGCTGACAAGCAGTCAGGCGACATTGCCGCATTATCCAGTGGTGGGCCACGACCTTCCTTTCAGGCTACACGTGACAAACTTGCCGCATGGCCAGTCCAGTCACCACAGGACACTCGCATCTGTGCGCTTGATCCTGACTTAGCCCTTGGAATTGCAACCGGTGTTCAGAATGCTTACGCCGTATGGTATTGGATGCAACGCGTCAAATGGCCAACCCCCCTTGGGGAAGGCATTGGTCCCGATGCCGCGGATTGTGGAATATGCTCACTTGAGCTTCTTGCAAGCTTCTACCTCACCACAGGAGCCCGTCTCCCGGTGGTCGCCTCCTGTGATCGCAAAAAGTCAGTCAGCACATATATTGAGTATGATAGCATTGAAGCACAAATGTTGCCAGCCTCATCCCTCAGTGCAGGCAAGCAAGCCGAAACTTTGATGTTGGTTGTCAAGCAACTGAATGAAGTGACGGGTCATTGCATCTTGCCAACCCAGGCAGTCCTTGACCTCAAGCAGATGAGGATCTTTTACCCCATCCGTAAGATAGGCGGTTATGCCCGTAGGGTAGGAATTCCACATGCTGCCAGAGCCTTGCAACACGTACTCCAGTACTGTGAAGCTTCTCATGGTGACACATGCGTTAGGAAAATCTCCATGCCCAACGGGCCTTTTGACTTTCTGCCCCCAGATCTTGACGTGGTGGACCTTCCTGAGTCAGCCAGAAAATGGCAATTTCGTAAAATGAAACGCCTTCGTGCTCAGACTATGTGACTCACGCATCTCTCGACGAAGTTTCACCCTGATCCCCCCTTCGGGGCGTGGGTCGGTGTGGTGAGTGTGTGCGCCTCTCTTTTTGCGGGTTTTCGGGTCTGTTCCCCCGGTTGTTTGGTTGTGTTGGGGTGGTGTGTGTTCGTTACATGGGGGTGGCTTCGTGCTACCCGTACTATGGACCTGGCGTGCCAAGGCCATAGTACAGCTCGCCGGATGGAAAATGGGCGCGCAAAAAAAAAAGAGAGCGCTGTGCACGTTGGAAGCCGTCGCATTCCTCTGCTTCCCCGTGGCTGCGGGCGCCCTTGTTTGATGTGTTGTTTCCCACGCTTGTTGGAGCGTTGGCTCGCTGAGCCGCCGCCTGCCGGAACATGAAGGCTGGTTCGACCTGCGAAGGCCTTGTCCGGTTGGTTGAAAAGGTTTAGGAGGTTTAGGTCAAAATTTCACCACCAGGGCATCGCAGATGTTCATCCATCTTTCCCTTTATCCGGGTTTCATTTTGGGTACCTATTTTGACCCACAGCCATATGTCATGGTGGACTGAGCTTGGGCCTTGGAGCTGGCAGCGCGCCTTGAGCGGACGCAAGTTGGATCTGGCTCGCCAGGGTGAGGTGCGCGCTCGTCAACACTGTCCGGCACGCTTGGCATGCCTGGCGCCTTTGCCAACATATCGCGTCTGATCGGCGTGATGTGGATTTGGACTGTTTTTCGCGTGGCTATACTTTAGTCATCGGCCTGCGCAGGAATGTGTTTGGCACGGATGTTGTGAGCTTGGCACGTTCGATCCCATTGTGTAGACATGCCCCCGTAGACCTGTGGACACTCCTATCCCTCCCCGACCCAGCGAGTTCCTTTCGTCTTGCTTTGGGTGGGATTGGTCTATGCTCAGAAGGCCATTAGCGTGCGGCTCATGGCCCTTCTCCATGAGCGGCTGCGGCGATTTGACCTTCGTTTGCGCTGGGTTGCATGCTGCAACTGGCCTCTCCAGTCATGTGGTTTTTGGTGACTTTTGGGCGTGGTGGTTGTCTCTTTTCCCCCTTGTTTGGCGGTTGGTGGGCATTCTTGATGTCTTGCCCGTGGGTGGGTGGGTCAGCTTCGGCTGGCCCACTTCCGTGTGCAGTTCGCTCTGGGGCTGCCACATGTTATCAAAGTCTACACAAAGTTTGGAATTGGATCCACGTTGGCAGTCGGCGTATCCGTGCTTCTTCTCCGTGGCTGCGTTCTGCGCTTTTTGGCGGTGGCATGCACTTGGATGTGCTGTTTGCTTCGCAGTTGGTGGTCATTTTGTCGAAGGTTCAGAAGCGTCGAGGCCTTGTTTGGAGTACGCAGGTTGGCGCACCGGCCAAAGCCCTTGCTGCTTGGTTGGCTTGTCGCGGACGGCGTGCAGTTCGTGATTGGGTGTGGCGTCACGACCTCACCGGGCACACTCTCGATTTGACTGTTAACGGCGAGGCGTCCTATCGTCAGCGCATCATCCGTGATGCTTGGAGGGCGTGGTGCTTGGGGCAGCACATGGCGTCCGAAAGACGTGATGCAAATTTGGATTGTTTTGCCAATGGCTATTTCGACCGGATCGATTGGAAAGCCACTCGCGAGTGAAGGAGCATGTGCCGAGGGCCGGACCATTAGCACTGCCCGGTTGTCATGAAGAGCTGGGCACTTGGGAACATGTGGCTTGGGCTTGTCCCTACAGACCGGTGGATGTCCCCATTCCCCCACATCCAGGCAAGCGGCTCGCTTTGGCTGGGTGGTGAAGGGTCAGGCAGTCGATATGAATGCTGTGCATTCTTGGTTAGTTGTTGTTCAACAGGCCATTTGGCGTGCTGTTCACGAGCCTGATTCGTGATCAGCCTTCTGGCCTCGGTCACTCTGTTGCCTTTGGCTCCCGCGGTCGGCCGTTATGGCTGCTGCTGCGGCGCGGCCGTTGGCTGGCTTTGGTTGGTGGTTCGGCTTGGCTGGTTGGTTGGTGGCCGGCTCCATGCTTCCATGGTTGTTTGGCCTTGAATGGGCGGCGAGGTCGGCTTCGGCTGGCCCCACATGCGTGTGCAGTTCGCTCTGGGGCTGCCACACGCTCAACGTCTACACACGCTGGCGACATGCCTTGAGCGGATGCACCTTGGATCTGAATCGCCAGGGTGAGTCCGGCGCGCGGCAACATGCTGTCCGTGATGCTTGGCGGGCCTGGTGCCTTTGCCAACATATGGCGTCCGATCGGCGTGATGCTGATTTGGACTGCTTTGCGCATGGCTACTTCGGTCGCATCAATTGCGATCGCACGCGAAAATTTGCGCCGTCTGGCTTGGAGGCCTGCGCCGTGTGCACTGGCGCTAACTTCTCGCCTGCTGCACTTGGCGGCCGCCGTCCTGATCGGCCTTCGCAGGAATGCGTTTGGCAGGGGTGTTAAAATTGTGAGCTTGGCACGTTCGATTACATTGTGTGGACATGCCCCCGTACTCCTATCCCTCCCCGGCCCGGCGAGTTCCTTTCGTCTCGCTTCGGGTGGGTGGTGCATGGTTGGTTGGTGCATGCTCAGAAGGCCATTTGGCCATTTGGCGCGCGGCTCATGGCCCTTCTCCATGAGTGCGGTGCCTTGACCTTCGTTTGGCTGCACGCTGCGACTGGCCTCTCCAGTCGTGTGGTTAATGGTCGCTTGGGGGGTGGTGATTTTTCTTCCCCCCTTGGTTGGCGGTAGGTGGGCAATCTCGATGTCTTGCTTGAGGCTTGAGTGCCCTTGCTTGGGAGGGTGGGTTTGCTTCGGCTGGCCCACTTCCGTGTGCAGTTCGCTTGGGGGCTGCCACATGTTATCAACGTCTACACACGTTCGCTTGAGGTCAATGCGGTCTTCATCCAGCAAACAATGAAGGTCGCGCAGGCCGACCAGGAGCTTATTTTGAAACAGCGGTTGCGTGTCTTGGCTAAAATATGATTCAGCAGGGCAACCACTGCATGTTGATGGCATCATGCTTAGATTTGTTGAATCCTTTGTCTTCGCATGGCCACGAAGCCATCTCAGTTGATGATGCTCTTTGGTTTTGGCTCCAAGCTGGTTGCGTTCTTGTTTCTTTTGCTGTCGCCTTTGTTGCCATTTGATCAGCTGGCAGGGCTCAGTGCCCAAAGCGAACCGGCCTGTTCGCCCTTTGTTTTTCAAGTGTCGGTTTATTTTTTGTGCATGGTCCCAGTTCAACATGTGAAGCTTCTGTTTTCAGGCTTTTCACGCAAGTGAGGTCAAGTGTAGCCCAATGTGCGGCTGAATGTCTAGCACAACCAAGGAGCCGAATCTGCATACGCAGCGAAGATGCGTGGCTCGGAATCGATTGGTGACAAGGGTTGCCTTTCTACCGCGCCCTTTGCCAATTCTTAGTTTGTAAGCATGACCCTGGGTAAAGGACACTCGCAAAATGGTGCCCTTGTCACCCGGTGGATTATTTTGGAGGAGCGTGTCTGGAAAGGTGTGCACTAAACAGCGGCAGGGATGCTGCACTTACTTTTGCCGAACGTGCAACCGAGGTCCCAACCAGAAGTAGGTGCAGCCGCCCTTCGATTCTAAGTGCACGGTTTGGGACATGTTGAATCTTATCATGTCATGTGCCTGTTGCGTTTGCGCTCCACCATCAGCCCACAAAGCCGGAAAGTTGGAGCATTCCATTAGCATCGCAGTCTGGCAAAGCAAGTGTCAAGAACAACAATCTTTGGCTCATGTTATCCACATGTTGTTCACAAAGCCCTTTGCAACGCAACGTGGCAGGCGGCAGCATTGGTAGCGCAAACTGAGGCCACAAACTTGATTCCATCAAGACTGTAGTTGCAGTCGCGCACGCTGGGGTTGCTGAAGGTCCGGACGCAAAACAATTGTGCAGAGCATAACAATCTCACAAAGGGGGTTTGCAACCTCATGCATGATGAGGTTGGTGCATTCTCATAGTTGCCCAGAATGCTGATGTTTGAGGCTTCGCCGCCCCAACAGAGAATGACGCAATACGTAGGAGATACCCAGTCTCTACTAAGCAGCAGCCAATCCGTGGCTGTTGCATCGATAGGTTTCAGCTGTCAGCCTTCCCTTAACCCCGCCCCCTCCCCCCGCCTCCCCCGAAGCTGTTTCCCAATCAGACGAACCCACACCACCTGCGCTGCCTTGCAGGTGAATTCTTTGAGAAGTTGGACAGCAACCATTCAGGATTTCTGACCTGGAAGGACGCGGCAGAGCTTGCCGTTTCTCTGGATGCTCCCAGGTTTCGACCAAATCAACTGTCCATTGGCTCAAAGGAAGCAGATTTGCAGCGTCGGGTGGCCCTGCATCGGTACACTTGAAGGCTGCAGGATCCCTTTTGGAGGTGCGCCAAACTTGTCGACCGGAAAAGTAGGCAAATGAACCACCGTGCGCATTGGTAGCTTGCAAGAGATTTGCCCTATAAAACCAAGAGACTTACATGTGCGTGTTGGCTAGAGGAAAGGGTGGCTGGGGCCAGACCCGTCACCATAGGATTCGTTGAAGATGGACGGCGCTGTCAGTTGGGCTCTAATAATCTGCAAGTGCCCAAGCCGCAATTGTTTCCCACAAGGACACATAGCCCCCTCGTTTTGAACCCAAGAGTAAAATGACACGCCAAGACGCGTGCGTGATCATACCTTGGTGGCGCTTGACAACCCTGGCAACCTCACCCTCGTTTGCAAGGTCGCATTTTTCTTGGATTCGGTTGTGGGATTTGTTTTGACGTCCTTAGGGGCGTGAACAACTGGAAGCCACCTTAAATGTTTGTGTTCACGCTTACTTCTGCAATATCTGGGCCAACCATGACTCGTTCTGCACGTCAACTGGAATGGATGAAAAGGAGGTTATTGCGATATGGTTGCTATGTTAGACACATTGCATCCATTACGGCCCCGAGTTGCGTGCACACATTGGGTTGCATAGCGTGGGACCCTTGCGTGACCCTCTTGGGGACAAATGAGAGTCCAGTTGAATCAAATCGCGACTTGTCCCCATCCCCTGTCACTTGGTGCCCTATGGTTAGATGGTCGAGGCTGGTTCGGGTGAAGGCACTTGAGGGGAGGCCTCGCGCTGAGCCGGGGCTAGTAAGAAGGAAACAGAATCGCACGTCAATCGATCTGCAATAGAGAATCAAATGTAGCAAGATAATTCCAAGAGGCGATCCCAATATTTTTAGTCGAATCTAGCCGAAAGGATTGAGCTGTGAATCAGAGGCTCCTTTTTTGGGAGAAACTTCTGCCACTGCACTTGAAGGGGGTCGCAACAGGTCTTCAATTTAGCCATGTCTCATAGGAAAAGTTCGGCAGAAGTGTTCATCCAAGGCCTTGAGGATGTGACGTCCTAGTTGCCTGGCCCTTCTTCTGGGCCTCACCCGCGAGCAAGACCAATTTGTGCCGACTTCCATCTTCACCTCCAGACATAGTGATTGGAGATAAGGGAAAAGATGCTACAGGAAATTGTGGTAGGACTCTCTGCACCTAAATCTAGACGGTTCACATTGTCTAGGTCCCCCAGTGCCCTTTGACCCTTTTTTGGGGGAGGGTTCTCCTAGTAAAATAGACTGCAGAAGAAAACAAATCGGGTACCCTTCTTCTAACCTCTCTACTGGAGGACCTAGTTGTATTTTTTTTTGCGCTGGTTGGCGCTTCCTCGTTTGGTTCGCTCCGGGTTCAGGAGTTCAGTGCAGTGCTCACGGAGCCAGAGCTGAGATCTTGGATGGCCACCCTGGAGCTGGACACGAAAAAGCGAAAAATCCGTGGGTCATGGCCATAACATCTGTTCGCGGAATATGGGGGTGCATTTTTTGAGGGTACCCCTTGTTTTGGTGGTTTTCGAGGGACACCAAAAGGAACTCATTTTGGGGGTCGTTAACAGAATAGTGGTCATGCTTTGATAGATTCTAGGAGATAGGTTGAAGGTGATCCATTGATGTTCACTTTTTGTTGATCTTTTTCCAAATTGTTTTTGTTGGTTTTATGTTTGTGCCATGGAGGAGCACATTGGGAAACCAAGTGGAAGATGGTTCCTGCAAAGCCATTTCTGGGGTGTGGGGGAGGAGGGGGCTTTGCGTTTGTCTCCCCATTGATTGGTGGTTTGATTTGTTTAGTGTTGTTGCTCCCCAATAGCGACAGCCCCGGGTCAACTTGCCAATGCTCAGGACCAGTGGCGGCCCTGGCTTTGGCAGGTTTGCTTATTTCGCCTCTTCCCGAAGGGAGCCCTCAAAATAAAGGCAACGAGAGATCGAGCTGCGACAAAGCTCCTAGAAGAACCTGAACACGCGCAGCCAGATGCAGAGCGCTTGCAGATGTTCATCATTGCTCCTCTCACAGGTCGTACATGCTTTTGGTTGGCTTGGAGACTGAGTTGGGGAGAGTTACTTGCTGTTGACCAGCATTGAAACTTCTTGGCCTCCGAACAACCATGCCCACTTCTGACATGTCGTGCTTCAAGTCCTTTGGACCCCAAGAGCGGGGTGAGAACATTTCTGTGGAAGCCCCTGAACGATTGGATCAAGGTGCTGCTTTGAGGAAGAATCGCGGCCCAATGAATGGCCCTACAAGTCTAATTGCACCAGTAGTCTAGTGGCAGGATACTTCCCTGTTATGGAGGAGATGGAGGAAGGAAAGTGTTCAACCATCCCAAGGCGAAAACTCAAACGTCGTAGGTATGAACCCTTGTTGTTTTTCGCCCTGATTGTAACCAGCCCATTCCGATGGCTTCATGGGCGTAAGCCTTCGACTTGGAGCTTGACAGGAAACCTATGACCTCGTGAACCTCTTCCACATGATCGACGATGGCGGGAGAAGGGACTCCTCCATGTACTCGTGGGATTGGCCTTGAGCTTCAGCCGTATCTATCACGTGCTGCTAAATTGTCCTCAGAGATGGAGCTGAGAATATACATCATCGCCCATGAACGAGCATGACGTGCTCAAAATTGCAAACTGTACAGCCAATCATTGACAATCAGGCGGTGCTTGACAAATGGCAATGCCAGCACTTACCCCCATTGCACCCATGCATTATGAACAGCCGCCAAAAAGGGCCCTGAAAGGATTGACGCTGGACAAGCATACCTCCTACTTGGCTACTAAATAAGGCATGTGTGTGTGTGTAGTTTGGACTTGTTTGGAGCCAGGGCCACCGACATGACAACAGTCCTTGACAGATGTTGAGTGTTCATGCTGGCACCACCCACATGTAGGTTGGGTGCTGCTGCTAAACAACCCCGAAATTGTGGATCAAGTGAAATGTGACATTGCACCAGGCGGAGTCCACTTACGGACAAGCTGTTGGTCTAGGGTTAAATGAGGCAACTGCGCAGTTCGTTTCCATGTGGAGGGAAAGCCCTACTAAACTATGAGCAAGTCATTTTGTTTATGGTTGACCTATTTCACGACAAACTTATATTGTTTGTTTGGCTCAATGGCTTGCGTCCTTTGCACATCAGAGTTGTTCTCCCTTCCACATGTTCTACCTCGACGGGGGAAACTCAAGCTTTCCACTCCTGATTCCGGAATTCAAGCAGGCCAACAGACGGGCCACTTTGGGCGGTGCAAAAAGCAACCCCATAGGAACATGGGAACACAGGCAAGACCACGGAAGCCGTGATATCCTGAGTGCAAAACAAAGTTGTGGCTTGAAGGTAAACCCGCCCCAAAGCAATTTTGAGAACTGCCAAGCAGCCAACCTACTAACCAACCAACGAAACCAAAGCAACCAAACCAAACCAAGCCAGCAAGCAACCGAGAGGTTTGACGTAAACGGAACGCCACGGCTAGGCGACGGCCACATCACGGTGGGGGAGTTCCTGGAGGGCGCTATCCGGCTGCGGGGCACTGCCAAGAGTGTGGACTTGGCCCAGGCGAAGCGCGCCAAAAGTCCGGCTGGAAGTCGTCCTATTTTCCGGTTGGTCGGTTGCTTGGTTTGGCTTGGCTTGGTTTGGTTTGGCTTGGCTTGGCTTGGTTTGGTTTGGTCGGTTTGGTTTGGTGTGGCTTGGCTTGGTTTGGTTTGGTTGGTTTGGTTTGGCTTGGCTTGGCTTGGTTTGGCTTGGCTTGGTTGGTTTGGTTGGTTTGGTTTGGTTGGTTTGGCTTGGTTTGGTTTGGGTTGGGTTGGCTTGGCTTGGCTTGGCTTGGCTTGGTTTGGTTGGTTTGGTTTGGCTTGGTTGGTTTGGTTTGGTTTGGCTTGGTTTGGTTTGGTTGGGTTGGCTTGGCTTGGCTTGGCTTGGCTTGGTTTGGTTGGTTTGGTTTGGCTTGGTTGGTTTGGCTTGGTTTGGCTTGGTTTGGTAGGTTGGCTGGTTGGTTTGCTTGCTTGCTTGCTTGCTTGCTTGCTTGCTTGCTTGCTTGTTCTCAGAATTTCTTTGGCGTGGGTTTACCTTCAAGCCACCACTTTGAGAATTTGCACTCGGGATATCCCGGGCTGGTTGCAAGTCGCTTCTTCAGTTTGGCTCCGTGTTCCATTTACTTATCAGCACCGAGCATGGGTTCCACATCATGGCTTCCCTCTGACTTGGTTTCCTGTGGCTTGGGGTGTAGTGCCCAGTACAATTGTTTCCGCTGGTTTCAAATGTTCGAATGCATCAGTGTCATTGTTTGGAGTACAGGGGTCTTTGTACTTGCTCTTTTGGGGTGTTGTAATCAGCGGAACATGCAAAGGAGCCCTGGTGGGGGGGTGGAGGCCAGAGGTTTGATTTGACGCAGTGTCTATGAATTCCAACGACAGAGTTGGGGCGGACCAAAAGTGAGAACGGCTCTAAGCTATAGTACTGACGCCCTTGCTCAGATAGGAAGCTGGCGAACTAATTGCTCATTGTTGTTCTTGGACGGGTCTAATTTGCGGTACTTATTAGGTTGTTCTTCGAGTCTTGGTGATTGCTTGAACATCGGGACGGGCTCAGCAGCATTTAGTGGCTGATGGATGTACTGTTTAGTTTGGACAAAGGAACGGAATAGTCTCCGTGTAAGGACAACTAGTTGGTGTCCTGCGCGTAGTCGCCCTGTGTTTGTGCGCAATACACGTTTATAGATTTCAGCTTGTTTTGTACCCTGTTGATTGCAAGCAGAGTCCAATATGCTCCTTGCTGCCACCGGCTCACGGTTTGGGCTTTCAGCACTCGCAGCAAAGGGGCATTTGCAATACTTGTGCTGCCTCAAACATGTTTGCTTTACACTCCTTATATTATAGCCAGACTCGGTCCTTACACTATTTGTGTTTTTTCTGCTTTCCGGACCACCTCACAAATCTGGGTAGATCCACGTTCAGAAGATTCCAAGAGTTCGGGGGGTATGTTATGCAAGCACATATCTCCAGGGTCTCAAATTGGCCCGGTTCTTGCAACCTGATACAGGGCATCCACTCAATCTGCGTTGAAGCGGATTTGATGGGATTGTAGCCAAACTCGAGGTCCTGATCTAGATATCACAGCAGCTTGCCAACTATGCTTGGAAAAGTAAATCCTGAACTAGAATTTCAGTGGTTCCCGAACTGGCTGCCCCGAGCCCAAGCTCCAACCTAAGCTCGATTGATCCTTTTTTCATACAAACAATTTCTCACATGGCTAGCCTTCGAGTTGGACGTCAACTTGCTTCGGATAATTTGTTTGCATGTTGGCACAGCCTTGAAACAAGAAATCTAGTCTTGCAGCCTCGACCTCACAATGAGGGTTTTTAACCCTTCCCTTCGTGAGAGTTTTTTTTGGATGATTGTGATTTGCCCAGATCCAGTTGGCAGTTGGTCAGAGCCAGCACCGCAGGTTTTGAACACTACACGCCGTTTGGACGCGAAGGTCGAGGCTTGGAGCGATGCGAAGGTGTCAAGATGGGACAAGGTTTGGCAACATGTTCTATGTTACCCCACGGGCAGAAAAGAGCAAGAAATCCCTGCTGGATGATCTTTTGAGGCGATGGACCATGGTGTGTAGACGACCATGGCACATCCGTCTTTTTCTTGTGTAAACCACTCCTTTCCGTCACATGTTCCCGTTCAACCACTGCTACATTGTTCGTAGCGCCCTGATTTCGGCTTTTGTTGCGTGACACTGCTTTGTTGTCTCCGTGCCCCTGCTTTTGCGTTATCCTGCCGGTTGGATTCTTCCCGCCCTTGTCTTCACTGGTTCTGCGTGAGCCCTTGGACTATGGCGCTGTGATCCAGATCCCATTTCCTCCGGGGGTCTTGGACACTGGATCCGCGTCGCTGGCCTTTGTCTATTGACTTGCTGGAGCTTTACGGGTCCTGCAAGCATCTTGGGCACCGTGGCACACTGTGGGTGGGCGGCGAGTCTTGGGTCACACCAAACCGATTTGACAGGCCCTTCTGATGTCCATCAAGGACCTCGCGGGATCCTCCAGCAACGTTGAAGCCTTCAAGGATGCGGCAGCTTGGCGTCAGCAACAGTCAGGGATTAAAACCTGCGCCAAAGTTGTGCACGAGGTCAGGGTTGAAGTACAGTTCTACTTGGCTGGGACTAGGAAAACCGGACCATCTTAGTAGAGCCCCAGGTATTGCCGGGGGGGGCCTGTCACTTGGGCCAGTCCTGAGGCACTTGACAAAATGTCCAACAAGACGGTGCAACGGCTCTCGCTGCACAAGAGGCCAGCAATAAGGCGTGGAGCTTGATTCGTGGCAAGCCCTTCATTGGGTCGGCCGTTCCGGCCTAAACCTGGGCGAACATGTTTGCATCTCGTTTGGGGGTGACCCTTCTTGAGAAGACTGAGTTCACTTCCACTCGTCTGGAGGTCAGGCACTGGCAGCTACGGCGTTCAGTCGCTGATGAACACTTTTTTCAGATCCAACACCGCCAGGCGGGATTCAGCAATTATCCTATCTGAAGCCGAAAGTTGTCGGAAGTGGGATAATTAAGGTGCCGCAGGCCGTCTGCTAATTGGAGTCAACTTGGTGTCTCGTTTTGCTGTGTTAATGCTGGATCCAAATCATTGCAGGGGTGTCACTAGCACACACCAGAACATACCAAAGCCGGCCACGCTCGCAGAGAGCATTTGTGGTAGGCTAACTGCTGTTGCTATTGAAGGTATTGTTGTTGTTGTTGTTGCTGCTGCTGCTGCTGCTGTTGTTGTTGTTGTTGTTGTTGTTGTTGTTGTTGTTGTTGTTGTTGTTGTTGTTGTTGTGGTTGTTGTGGTTGTGGTTGTGGTTGGGGTTGCGGTTGCGGTTGCGGTTGCGGTTGCGGTTGCGGTTGTTGGTTGTTGGTTGTTGGTTGTTGGTTGTTGGTTGTTGGTTGTTGGTTGTTGGTTGTTGGTTGTTGGTTGGTTGTTGGTTGTTGGTTGTTGGTTGTTGGTTGTTGGTTGTTGGTTGTTGGTTGTTGGTTGTTGGTTGTTGGTTGTTGGTTGTTGGTTGTTGGTTGTTGGTTGTTGGTTGTTGGTTGTTGGTTGTTGGTTGTTGGTTGTTGGTTGTTGGTTGTTGGTTGTTGGTTGTTTGTTGTTGTTGTTGTTGTTGTTGTTGTTGTTGTTGTTGTTGTTGTTGTTGTTGTTGTTGTTGTTGTTGTTGTTGTTGTTGTTGTTGTTGTTGTTGTTGTTGTTGTTGTTGTTGTTGTTGTTGCTGCTGTTGTTGCTGTTGCTGTTGCTGTTGCTGTTGCTGTTGCTGTTGCTGTTGCTGTTGCTGTTGCTGTTGCTGTTGCTGTTGCTGTTGCCGTTGCCGTTGCCGTTGCCGTTGCCGTTGCCGTTGCTGCTGCTGCTGCTGTTGCTGCTGCGGCTGTCGCTGCCGCTGCCGCCGCCGCCGCCGCCGCCGCCGCCGCCGCTGCTGCTGCTGCTGCTGCTGCTAGTGCTGCTGCTGCTAGTGCTGCTGCTGCTAGTGCTGCTGCTGCTAGTCCTGCTGCTGCTAGTGCTGCTGCTGCTGCTGCCGCCGCCGCTGCTGCTGCTGCTGTTGCTGCTGCTGCTGCTGTTGCTGCTGCTGCTAGTGCTGCTGCTGCTAGTGCTGCTGCTGCTAGTGCTGCTGCTGCTAGTGCTGCTGCTGCTGCTGCTGCTGCTGCTGCTGCTGCCGCGGCTGCTGCTGCTGCTGCTGCTGCTGCTGCTGCTGCTGCTGCTGCTGCTGCTGCTGCTGCTGCTGCTGCTGCTGCTGCTGCTGCTGATGCTGCTGGTGTTGTTGTTGTTGTTGTTGTTGTTGTTGTTGTTGTTGTGGTGATGGGTGATGTTGTTTGGTTGGTTGGTTGGTTGGTAGGCTTGGTTGGTGGGGAGGGTGGGTGGGTGGGTGGGTGGGGAGGGTGGGTGGGTGGGTGGGTGGGAGGGTGGTGGGTGGGTGGGGGTTGGGTGGGTGGGAGGGTGTGGGGGATGTTGGGTGGGTGGTGGTTGGTTGGTTGGTTGGTGGGTTGGTGGGTTGGCGGGTTGGTAGGTTGGTGGGTTGGTGGGTTGGCGGGTTGGTGGGTTGGTGGGTTGGTGGGTTGGCGGGTTGGTGGGTGGGTTGATGGGTTGGTGGGTTGGCGGGTTGGTGGGTTGGCGGGTTGGCGGGTTGGCGGGTTGGCGGGTTGGCGGGTTGGCGGGTTGGCGGGTTGGCGGGTTGGCGGGTTGGCGGGTTGGTGGGTTGGTGGGTTGGTGGGTTGGTGGGTTGGTGGGTTGGTGGGTTGGTGGGGTGGTGGGGTGGTGGGGTGGTGGGGTGGTGGGTTGGTGGGTTGGTGGCTTGGTGGCTTGGTGGGGTGGTGGCTTGGTGGCTTGGTGGGGTGGTGGGGTGGTGGGGTGGTGGGGTGGTGGGGTGGTGGGGTGGCGGGTTGGCGGGTTGGCGGGTTGGCGGGTTGGCGGGTTGGCGGGTTGGCGGGTTGGCGGGTTGGCGGGTTGGTGGGTTGGTTGGTTGGTGGGTTGGTGGGTTGGTGGGTTGGTGGGTTGGTGGGTTGGTGGGCTGGTGGGCGGGTGGGCTGGTGGGCTGGTGGGCTGGTGGGTTGGTGGGTTGGTGGGTGGGTGGGTGGGGTGGTGGGTGGGTTGGCGGGTTGCTGAGTTGGTGAGTATGTTGTTTGTTTGTATGTTTGTTTGTATGTTTGTTTGTATGTTTGTGTGTATGTGTGTTTGCTTGGCTTGGTGGGGTGGTGGGGTGGTGGGGTGGTGGGGTGGTGGGGTGGTGGGGTGGTGGGGTGGTGGGGTGGTGGGGTGTGGCGGGTTGGCGGGTTGGCGGGTTGGCGGGTTGGCGGGTTGGCGGGTTGGTGGGTTGGTTGGTTGGTGGGTTGGTGGGTTGGTGGGTTGGTGGGTTGGTGGGCTGGTGGGCTGGTGGGCTGGTGGGCTGGTGG